ATTGAACATCTCTACCAAATTAAAACTACACTGAGAATTTATCTCATACTAGTCAGAATGGCAATGACCTAGAATACAAGTTAATGCAATAAATGTTGGTGAGGATGTGGAGAAAAAGATTCACTCATACATTGCTGGTGGGAATGCAAAATGGTGCAACCACTCTGGAAAGCAGTATGCAGATTCCTCAGAAAACTTGGAATGGAACCACCATTTGATCCAGTTATCCCGCTCCTCGGTTATACCCAAAGGACTTAAAATCAGCAGACTACAGCAAAAGAGCCACATCAATGTTTATAGCAGCTCAATTCATAATAGCTAAGCTATGGGAACCAACCTAGGTATACTTCAACAGATGAATGGATAAAGAAAATGTGGTACATATACACAATGGACTATTACTCAGCCATGAAGAATGAAATTATGGCATTTACTGGTAAATGGATGAAACTAGAGACTATCATGCTAAGAAAAATAAGCTAATCCCCCAAATCTCTCTGATATGCAGATATTGACTCACAATAAGCAGAGGGTAGGGAGAAGTTCACCAAATTGGAGGGAGTATGGGCAAAAGAGGGGGAGAGAATGAGAATAGGAAAGACAGTAGAATGGATCAGACATAACTTTCTTATGTTCATATATGAATATACAACCATTGTAACTCCACATTGTGTACAACCATGAAAGTGGGAAGTTATACTCTATGTATGTATGATATGTTAAAATACATTCTACTGTCATGTATAACTAAAAAGAACAAAATTTTAAAATTAGCTGGCTACAAATACATGGGTTTATTTTTGGTTCTCTATCCTTTTCCACTATTTGTGTTTCATGCTGTTGCAGTTACTCTATCTTTGTACTGTGTTTTAAGTATTGTGAAACCTCCAGCATTGTTCTTTTTGCTCAGAACTGCTTTGGTTCTTTGAAGTGTCTTGCAGTTTCAAACAAATTTTAGGTTTTTCTATTCCTGTAAGGAATATCATTGACATTTTGATAGGGAGTGTCATTAATCTATAGATCTCTTAAGGCACTATAGACATTTTAACAGTATTAATTCCTCCAATCCACAAACATGGGATGTTTCTCCATTGTTTGTGTGTGTGTATGTGTGTGTGTGTGTGTCCTCTGCTGCTTCATTCATCAGCAATTTATAGTTTTCATTGTAGAGTTTTTTAAATCTCCTTGGTTAAATTTATTCCTAGGTTTTATTTTTGTAGCTATTGTTAATGGAATTATATCCTTGATTTCTTTTTCAGCTAATTCATTGTTGGTGAATTGAAATGTTAATTTTTGTATGTTTATCTTATGTCCACAAATCTCTAAATTTATCAGTTTTAAGTATTTTGATGAAGTCTTTAGTTTCCTCTATTTATAATGCCATTTGCAAACAAGGATAATTTGACTTCCCCTTTCTATTTGGATGCCCTTTCTTTTTCTTGCCTAACTGCTCTGGCCATGACTTCCAAATTGGGTTGAGTAAGAGTGACAAAACTGAGCTTCCTTGTCTTGTTCCAGATTTTACAGAATGTTTCCAACTTTTCTCCATTTTGTATGATGTTAGCTGTTAATTCATCATAAAGAGCTCAGAAATTATATTGTCTATATCTGATAAGACTTTTTATCATGAAGGAATATTGAATTTTATTAAATACTCTTCATGTCTATTGAGATGATCATATGGTTTTTGTCCTTTTGATGTTTAATATGCATATGTTGAACCATCCTTGCATTCCTGAGATAAACCCACTTAATCATGGTGTATAATCTTTTTTGATGTGTTGTTGGATTCAGTTTGCTAGTATTTTATTGGGAATTTTTGCACATATTCACCAAAGATATTATTAGTCCATAATTTTATTGTTATTATAATCATCTGGTTCTGATAGCAGGGCCATTCTGGCCCCATAGAAGGAGTTTGAAAGTATCCCCTTCTCCTTTAATTTTTTTTTAGGGAGATTTTGAGAATTGGTGTTAGTTGTGCTTTAAATTTTTGGTAAAATTCAGCTATAAAGTCATCAAGAGAGATTTTCTTCACAGAAGAGGGCACATTACAAGCAATGCCACAGAAATTCTTTTAAAAAGATCATAAGGGACTATTATGAACAATTACAGGCCACCAAATTTCACAACCTAGAAGAAATGAATAAATTCATGGAAACATATAAGCTACCAAGATTAAATCAAGAACAAACAGGGAGCCCAAGCAGAAGAAAAACAAATGGGATTGAGTTAGGAATTTTAAAACTTCCAAAAAAGAAAAGGCCAGGAACCAAGGAGAAGAAACACATGAATTGGAAACAGTGAAAACAGGCAGCTAAAGCCTACGGAGGGTGAGGAACAGCCAGATTACTTTGGACATTATACATCACATTAAAGATTTTTTCTTTATCCAAAGCCATTGAATGACATCTTAGGTTTGTGATACCATCAAGATTAGGATTTTGAAAAATCACTCTGTCTACACTGTGAACAATGGGAAAAGACAGTGAGATGGGTCACAGGAGCAGGTAGACGATCTCAGAATATTCTTGAGAATATTAGGATAACCTAGCAAAGAAATTGTGATGACTTTCACTAAAGTGATATAGGAAGAAGTAAACAGATTCAAAATGTATTTCAAAGAAGGAATTAGTGAGATATTGTGTTTGCAGGGTGAGTGTGAAACAGTGGGAATAATCAGGATGAACAAGCTTAGAAGTTACACAGAGGATAATGACTCCATAAAGGGGAAAAAGAACATGTTGGAGTTAGGAGAAAGGAAACTCAAGTGAGGTCTGAGAAAGAAAAAAAAATAGGGGAGGAGCCTATTTTGAACACTGTTCACTGCTGCACATAAAAACTGTGCACTGGGGGGTGTAGCTCAGTGGTAGCCCAGTTGCCTGGCATGTGTGAGGCACTGGGTTCGATTCTCAGCACCACATATAAATATTTATTAACAGCTGAAAAAATATATTTAAAAAAATTGTGCACTGGGTGTAGAAAGAACAGGAAGTACAGCCACAGTGATTCACAAACATCTCGCTTTCACTGGCATAAGCCAACTTTTCTTATAAAGGAGCTGCTGCTGATACTGCATTTTTGTTTTCTCCTTCTAAAAGCCAGGTGCCTCCACAGGAACCGCTGTCTCTAAGCCCTTTTTTGTGGCCTCTGAGATATTTCTAAGTTCCAAGCTCATTGGTAGAACCTCAAATATTCATTCATTCAATCAGCCATGCTTAGCCACCAGGTGCAGCACATCATAAATATGACAAGATGTTTTTATTTTTATTTATTTTATTTGTGGAGCTGGGATTGAACCCAGCGCCTTGTGCATGTAAGGCAAGCACTCTTACCAACTGGGCTATATCCCCAGCCCAAATAAGACAAAGTACTATAAAAGCAGTCTCCTCCCTCAAGCCTATCATCAATGGTGTAATTCAAGGCAAGGCAATAAAACACAAGTGACAGGAACACAGTTCTAGTTCATTGCCATGCTTAAGGACATAAGACTAGTGGAGTCGGACTATGTGGAAATTAGTAGGAGGGGAGACCCAGCTTTAGAACATATCTCCAGGGCAGAATGACTGGCAAGGAAAAGAAACTGAGGGCACTGTCCTCACCTTCTAGGCAGCAGAACTGGAGAATCATTCTAAATGTACAAAAGCAGTGTATTTGACACCGAGACACAGCTGAAAGGTACCCATGAGGCCTTGTGGGGAAGTTCCCGTTCTACCCAGGTTTTTCTTCCATGCCTGGGTAGGTTCTTTGGAGGAAAAGTTTCCTGAAGATCATTCTTCTCCGAATAGATCTTAGCTCCTGTACATTCCAAATCCTTGTGAAAGTCTTGAGACACCCCCATCTACTTGCAAAATCTTTCTCACAAGTTCGGCAACCTCCAAGATGAATTTCTTCTCATGTGTCCTGCTAGGAGCACGTGAACCCACTCCCTCTTCCTCCCTGATGGTACAGTTTGCATCCCCTCTCTCCGGAACACACTCCTCTCCTTCCTCTACCAGCACTACTGTCTTGCCCAGCCTCTCCAAACACATGCTGTTGATTATATACTTCTGCTGTCTTAGCTACAGAATCAACTGTTTGCCCTATGCTTCTTCCTCAAGCACGGTCCATGCATTAAAAAGAGAAGCCACTCTCTTGATTTTGCAGACTTATCAGCAGAGTACCCAAAAGCTCACAACCCACCCAGAGTCAGCACTGAACACTCGTCCCAGTGCAGACAATGGAGTAAGGACAGGAAGGGTTGTCATCTACAGCACACCTGAATGATTTTTAACAGATGACATATGTGTGCATGCACACAGAGATGGTTCCTAATACTAGGCCAAGTTCCCCTGGATTTTCAGTCCCCTTTACTGAAAACTATACTATATGTAATTCACTCTATCACTTAGAAAACAATTATTTAAAAATCGTCATTTATCTTAGAAATGTTCACTAACTTCCAGTGTATTGGTTCAGTGTAGTCTTAAAATAATTTAGAGGTGAAGTTTTTATTGTCAAGAAAGGGAAGCACTAAGAATATAAAGGCTAGCATATATCCAACCAGTTATGACCACTCCGAATTTGATATTAATAAGAATATTGTTCCATTTTAGTCACCTTTTCTCTTCCTTCCCTTTCACCTTCCCTTCCTGATGTAGGTAAATGACCTTGCTTTTCCAGAGCTCTGTCACTCTCATTTGGATATGTGGCTGGGGCTCAGTGGTAGAGTACTTGCCTATCACTGTGTGGGGCACTGGGTTCAATTCTCAGCACCACATAAAATAAATAAAGGTGTTTTGAGTCCATCTACAACAAAAAATATGTGGGGGGGGGGGCTGGCTTCCTACCACTCCCCATACTTTGGCTGTTCCTGATAAGACCTTCTGTTGGCCCAGATGAGTCCCTGGTACCATCCAGACCAAGTCACCTTGCTGCAGGATTCAGAAAAACGTACTAATACTTTGTTATCATCTGCCTAAAGCACCTGCACATTTTGGAAAACATTTCACACAGAAGAGTTCAGAATTCTGGGAATCAGTCCGCATTTTATTTTACAGTACATTCGTGTAAGTTCCTGCATTTCCAAGATAACCAGATCACATTCAGGTTAGCACTGCTGGTAACAAAACCATACAACTTCCCTGGCTTCAAAAACAAGATAGGGCAATGCACATTAATACTTCTTTCCCTTTAATACTGCAGAAGATAATACATCACACACACAAAAATCACATGCCTTTTACAATCCAGTGTGAAGGCATTTTATGTTAAAATTAAGCCATGTGGAACATGGGCAGAGTAAGAGTTCCAAAGTTCCCTAACATTTCCAAAAATGCCATCTTTCTCTTAACTGACAAGGATAAGATTCAGCTTCAATGCCTTGGGAAGTGAGGGATAGGAAAGCAGAGGATTATTTAATTCTGAAACTCATGGCTTTTCAGGCTACTTCTGTGAAAATTATTTAAATAATCTAAAATTGTAAAGAGTTAATATGAATAAGGGATAGTAATATAGGAAGCACCTGGGAAAAAAATTCCACCAGTCACTGATGGGAAATTTAAACTGCAGACATTTCACAAAAATGGAAAATCTGTATCACATCCAGTAATACGTAAATTCTCAAGATACATTTTCATTTTACTGAATGAACACACTATGATCCATGTTCAGGTCTTGAGCAGTTCAGAAAAATCCTCCATCTGCAATATTTACTAAAAGCCATCCTAGATCATTACCCATCTAAAAATACAACTGACCAATATACCCAACCCTTACAAACTGAGCTATAATAAAAACGAAAACAAGATATGTAGGAGAAAAATCAGAAGTGTGGGAAAGCAAGTTAGACTTGTTTATGTCGTGTGACTAAATAAACAATTTCATTATAAAATGGTTCAGACCCTGGTCCAACACAGCTGGAATGATGAGTTACTGAAGATACAAGCCCCCATCCAGAAAGACACTGTGCTACGCAGCATCTTTCTCCTAAAAGTTCAATGTGCTTTAGGTAAAATCATTACTTCACTGCATAATTAAGTACGTGATTCAGAATATCTTTAGACTTGCTGTTAACTCCAGTGACTAATGAGCCTCTGCCACTTGCTTCCAAGAAGCTGCTGAGTCCTGAACGTATCAGGTTCTGAATAAAATCGATATGCATATTTGTTGATCCTGAAAGAAATCCCACCCCTTTCAAGGCAGAAAAATATGATGGAAGAGGGATTAAGACACTTCTTAGGAAAGCCACAAAACAATTTATGAAAAACCAGAGCCAGTGCATATTTTACAACCCCTGAAGAAAGCCCCCGTAGCAGGGTGGGCAAAGGGAGCAGTGATGTTTTTGAAACCAGAGTGACTTGCAGCTAACTGCCTAACAGTAAATTCACAGAGTAAAATGCAGAATAAGTCGACATATAACCAAGGTTTACATTATATCTAGAAATATGTTTTATGCTTTAAAAAAATTGCAATGCACTCCAAAAAAATTTTTCTGATAATTCATGTACAACAGAAGGCACTATTATCCGCATAAATCCATGGATTCTGCATGGCAAAAACCTGAGACCTGCAAGTCAATCCAATCCTCTAAAAATCACCGTAGGCTGTCAGCCTTTGGAGCGTTAGGTTTGTCCTTTTCAATGCAATGATTCTGTTTTTTTTTTTTAATTTCATACATTACAGTAGCTGTTGAAAATATATATTTCAGGGTGAGAAAGGTCAAAGGGGAAAGGGAGAGTGGATAAAAGTACTGCCTAATGCCAGATGATAACTGGTACAGCAGGAGGGCCCTGAAAAGCAGCCCCCTAATTTCTCCCCTTGACTCTCACACTCCCTTTGTGAAATTGTGAGATAAAACACAGCAAAGACATCTGGTCAGTTGATGTCCTTCCTTCAGTTGTTGCCCGGCACAGTCCCAAAGTTAAAGGCAGAGAGAACTCCTTTATTTTCAAACGTGAAGCCTCCTTGTTGTTCAATCTTCTTCTTTGCCTCTAGCATTTTCAAAAAAAAAAAAAAGAGGAAGAAAACAGAAGAGTCCTTAAGGCACAAAGTTGGAAAGAATCTCTGTAAAGCCAGATTCTTTACATACTTAGAACTGAAGAACCGTGACTTATGGTATTTGTTACTTGGCCAAATTGAATGCCAGCCTTTAGCAGGAGCACATCAATGAGTAATTATGTTTACTATCACAGAAAAACATTACTACAATAAGTGAAATGAAAACAAGTCTCAAGCTAGATTCCAATAGCTTCACTGTCTCTACTGCTGAAAAGGCACCAGACTTTTCATAGCAGGAGGGTCAATACCAAATCTGAAGACCTAAGTCTGTGCAGAAGAACCAGAGTTCTCAACTCTAGACGCCCGTCCACGATGTTTTCTACCAAAATATTTTTGTGATCACAAAGTCTTTTCCATTGCTAATCTAGGAGTGGCCATTAACAATCTCAACATAAAAATAATTTCTTTAGCTTAAAAACTGAAAATCAACATGAGTCACCAACACAAAAAGCCCAACAAATATAAATGGAGAGCATTTGTTAGTTTGGATTGTAAATATCCCCCAAAAGCCTACATGCCAAAGGCTTGGTTGCCAGCCTTGGCACTCCTAGGGGGGATGAAACCTTCAGGAGGTGGGGCCTAGTTACGGGAAGTTAGGTCAACAGGGGCATGCCCTTTAAGGGAACACTGGGCCTTGGCTCCTTCCTTCCTCTGTTTCCCAGCCACCTCTATGAACAGGTTTCCTCCACCACAAACTCCTAAATGTTGTTCAGCTGTACCACAGGCCTAAAAGCAACAGGGCCAAGTGACCGTGGATTGAAGCCTCTGAGACTAGAAGCCAAAATAAACTTTCCTTCCTTATAAGTTAATTTTCTCAGACATTTTGTCACAGCAACAGAGAGATGACTAATGTAGTATTTCATTTCCAGGTGTAAGGGTAAAAGAAATTGAAGTTAAAGTATAAAAGTTAAAGTATAAAAGACCGGGCATTGTAAGTTTCTAAGCTGCAAGGCCTGAGTTAAAATGTAAAAGACCAGGTATTGTTAAGTTCCTATGCTACATGTAAAACCTGAAATTCCTGTAGCTGTTAAGACAATACTTGGAACTGCCCAGTAAATATTTCCCCTGACCGCCTGGTTGTTTAATAACCTAGGACTCTGTGTGACCTTGCACATAGACATCGCAGGGCCTGAACCAATCAGTTTGAATGTGTACCCTGCTTTAGAACTGACCTATCACCCCCGCCCGACCTGTTCCCACCAATGAATGTACTAATCATGTCTCAGAATTGTTGTTTGATTTTCCCACGGTATATGATGATTTGTTAAAGGAGACTGTGATGTATGTAAAGTCCCGCCCTCCCTAAAAAGTGTACTTAAGCATTGCTCAACCCCTGCTCTGGGCTCTGGGCTGCTCTCCCTTCTTGAGTGAGCACGGAACCCCAGCGCGCTGGAATGGATCCCCAATAAAACCCCTTCTGCAATTGCATGAGTCAATCTCTTGGTGATCTCTTCCTCCGACGCTTCGCCGGACCCTTACACAGGAATACAAGTTCCTTGCAAGAATTCATAAAGAGACTTTGGTCTACCTGTGGTTAAGATGTTTAGGTAGGTGTCCATCTGATTAAGTCTCCCTCAGCAAGATTCATGCCTACCCTTACTTTTTACCTATACCTCCAAAATAATGTAAGGCTCTGAATGGGAATACCACTGATAAACACATAATGGAAAGATTTTTGCAAATCTAAGATATTGGAAATGATTAAAAAACCAACCATTCAATGATGACAACTCCTCATTATCATAAAGGGTTGGTCTCTAAAAATTTAAAAAGCATATTTAGGTGCCCCCTAGGACACTGAAAAAGTCTGGCTGCTGGCAGTCTGACACATGTGGAAATGAGTGGCTGACCTGCCACCGTCCTTCGGTGCTCTGCCAATGTGTACACCTCCTGCAGTGTTCTCTTCTGGTCCTCACTGAGAGGGGCTAACAGCAACTGGTACCAGGCAGCATCCCGATTCTGCACAGCTGTTGCATTTCAGGGGTGTATAGGAAAAGGAGAAAAAGATAAGAGTCCAATAACAACTATTACTCAGAGAAAAATGAGTGGCATCATCAAATTACAATGAAATTACTTCAGATAATAAGGGACAGAATGATGAAACTTAACCAACGAATAAACTGTTCTTCTTTCTAAATTTTACCATCTATAAATGTTCCCTAAAATCCAGATCATGGGACATACACCTGTACTCACTTGTTACCATTTCTAGAGTTTTCTAGAGGAAAATGCAGCTTCAGTATTGTTTCCACAACAAGGACCCACATCTGTGTGCATTTAGGCAAAGTCTTCCCCTTAGCTACTGGACTTTCCCACTTAGATAGCTCATCTCAAATTCTACACAATAAAACCAAATTCAGCACTTTTTCCCCAACTCTATTTATCTCCCTATTTCTATCACTGGTTCTATTAGTCTCCCAGGCACCCATCCCAAGCCCTTACCACCTCTGGCCACATTCTCTTCATGTCCAATCCTCTGAGACTTGATGTTTTCTACCCATATGATTCTTTCCATTAAATCCCATTCTCTACTCCAGGACCTTATTACTCCTACCTTAACAAAATAATCTCAGAATGCTTGGTTCCCTCAGCTCTTTACACATTGAACACCTGGAAACTCCCTTACAGAAAACACTCAACACTCCACTAGGGAATGGCGACCAGAACTCAAAGCCGCTACAATCTCGTCCTATTTCATTCCTTCACTGAGGCTTTCAGCAGTGGTCATTACAAACTGGTCCAAAGCTGGGTGCCTAACTATCACTTGAGGAGCATTTTAATAATACCATACGTGCTGGGTACAGAGGCACACACCTATAATTCCAGCTACTCAGGAGGCTGAGGTAGGAGGATCACAAGTTTCAGGCCAGCCTCTGCAATTTAGCAAGACCCTATCTTAAAATAAAAAATCAAAAGGACTAGAGATAGGGCTCAGTGGCTAAACACCCCTGAGTTCATTCTCCAGTACCTAAAAATAAAAAGGCCGTGGGAGTATAGCTCAGTGGTAAATCACCTCTAAAGTCAATCCCCATTACTGAAAAATTAAAAAATGAACTACATCTTTTGAGACTCCACTCAATACCTAAAAGTTTTGTTGGTGACTAGGGTGCACACCCATGTCTGGAAAAAACTATCTTGGTACACATCATATTTCCATCTCCACATTATGCTTTTATTTTCCTATTGTTTTGTAATGACGTTCCTTGTACTCTCTTTAATTCCTGTGAAATTTCAATAAAAATATTTAGGTAGTTTTTAATCTTCATCAATGGTGTTTGCAGCAACACGAAATGATGCCAATATTATGCTAATATTGTCCCTGTCAGTAAAAAAATTTTATACCGAAGCATATCCACTTTAATATCACTTATAATAACAAAAAACTAGAAATAATCCTAAATGTCCAACAATAAAAATAAGTTATATTATGATACAATCACAGAAATACCATCTACCATAACAGAATATACATTAGTGGGATTTTTTTTCATTATAATTTCTTTAATAATTTTCTAAATATTATCATTGGTTTATCATTTCTTTTGCGGGAGGGACTGAACTCAGGGGCACCCAACTACTGAGCCACATCCCCAGCCCTATTTTGTATTTTATTTAGAAACACGGTCTCACTGAGTTGCTTAATTCATCACTTTTGCCGAGTCTGGTATTGAGCTTGCAATCCTCCTGCCTCAGCCTCCAGAGCTACTAGGATTACAGGCATGCACCACTATGCCCGGTTCATTTATTTTTATTCTGTAAAATTTCTATTTCCCATTTTTATACTAGTTCATTGGTCTTACTCATTTGTAGAAGGCTTTTGGCTGTTGTGCATCATAAGCCTATGATACATTTAGCAAGTCTTCTCTCCCAATCTTCAATGAGTCTTTTAATTATATTTATGTGCCTTGCTGTACAAAATTGGTAAACTGTTTAAGAAGTAAAGAGCTACTCTCTGTTCCTTCACTCAGGGACTGTGAATAACTAAAAGGTTTACACCATCATTTTTAAGTAATATACATCTGAAATACTTCATTCTTTTCTGTATATGCTTGCTCGCTTTTTGCCTAAAGGATCAACAACACATTTGCCTGGAATTGCTTTCGTGAGGATAACCTACAGGCTCACCCTATTGCTTTAAAATGATGAAAGATGCTAGGACTGGGTGATGAGAGTTTCTTTATGCTAATCCCTTTCATTTTGCATATGTATGGATATTTCTGTAACAAAAAATTAAAATTTTAAGTGTCTATACCAATTTTTAGTCAGACCCCAAAACAAGTAACAGAAAGGAATGAAAAAAAATTTCTAAGAAATAGCTCAAAATTCAGGGAGTAAAGACATACTTAACAGAGCTTGTGTAAAGAACTGATATTCATCCACACTATTGTCAAGGTCAAGTGGAGTGCTGAACCCCTCAAGGGCAGTTTCTTCCAGCACTTCTTCATCCCAGTCATCCTCCTCTTCCTCCTGGTCTCCACCTCTCCCGTTATTTGCCTGCATGGCTTGAGCAGCAACGTTTGTATCCTCCTCATCACTGGAAATCTCCTCTGTGGATCCATTAATTATTTAAAAGGAATCAAAATATGCAAGTGTAATAGATAAAATTCCATGAAAAAGACTATTTTAAAAATGTAGAAATGGAAAAAAAATTTTACATAAATACATAAAAATAAACCTTATGCCTACTCTACAGTTTGATAAATTGAGAATGGCTTTATCCTTCTCACTGAAAACAATTTCCCTAGATCTGCGGGTTACCTGAACATTGCTAATGTTATACTATAGCTGACTCATTAACTTGAGAATACTATTTAACTGCAGATTTCCCATAATTTTTGTTAAAAAAAAAAAAAAAAAAAGACATCAAATGATTTTGTAATCAGTACACGTTTAGATAACAATGACCTCCCATTGATTACCAAGTGTTCAGAAGTACCAAAATGATGAGGTCATTTCCTTTAATAGAAATAGTAAAAATGCAAAAAATGTAAATAATAATAAAGTAGTCAACTACATGTGGCTTGAAAAGTTATAAGCCAAGTTACGCATGACCTATTTTCAGTGCTGCTCTGTTCCAAGTGGTTAAATGAATATTGTAACTGGAATATTGTAACTAGAAGGCAGCAAATGCAGAATAAAAATCAACTTAAAAGGAAAAACCTAGAGTAAACCAGGCAACGTCAATCTAAAACTAGTTCCATAAAACACACCACACTGAAACAGCTGGATTAAACTAAAAGACAGGGATAAAACAAGAAACCATAGTTTGGGACCAGACATGTAGTGGGGGAAAGTGGCAAAGGTACAATTACAAAGATAGCAAGAAATACCTTTGCTAGTTAATAATTCTACAATTTGGAAGGAAATTCAACAAGTCTTGGAATATTACTAGAAAAAATTATTTCAAGCCGTATTATTTATAAGCCAAAAACCAGCAAAACATGAAGTTAGAAAGAGATCATAACAAAATGAAAAAAAGAATTTGTAATTCTTGGCATATGCTTAGCCCCCTCCAAAAGAAAAATAATAAAGAGGGAAAAAAAAAGTAACTTCTAGAAAGAAACTACTTCAAAAGATCTACTCAGAAATCAGAAAAATCAGAAACTTTTGTGGTAAGAGTGGTGAAGGGTAGCTTAAAATTCCTTATATATGAACAAACTGGGATACCAGTTAAAACAAAAAGTGTTTTAAATCTATACCTGAAATCACAAAGTTTAGCATCAAAAAATAGTTTGGTTTTTTGTTTGTTTGTTTGTTTGCTTTTGTTTCCTGGCAAGAATTCTGATTTTTCTTAGCTAAAGATAAATGTCTTTTTTAACCACAAAAGGAAAACCTCCACTCAGAATTAAATAGTGCTACTTCCTGGGCCCTAGCAAGTAGCTTTACAATCTCATTATTAAATGTCTAATATTCTTGATATTGACAATCTTATTCTGACTTTAGATTAAGCAAATCATCTTCATTTCTGAACTTTATTCTAAATGTATATTTAGACCACAAATACATCTCTCATTAATAATTTTGGAACATGAATCACCTACCAATCCTTTTTTTTTTTTTTAAATCAATCTCCACTGTTCTTAATCTAGTGTTTCACTTAATTCATGGCTGCTGCCTTCATTGAGTCTATTAGCATTAACAAGAAAATAAAATACTAAGTTGTTAACATGTATCAAGACCATATGATTCTGTTACAAATATATTTACCACGTATAAAAACATCCATTAGGCTCAGGTTTAAAAATAATTCAGTTTACAGTTTCAAGAAGTACACAAATCTGTTATCCCACATGATACAATTAACACGTCAATCAAGTCCAAGATATTTGTTAAATGTTCAGCAAGCCAAAGAATGTAAATCTGTTTAATGAAGCCAAACAGACTAAAAGTCAAAGAAAACAATGCTCAAATCACAATCAATTCTAGCACCGTATAAGACTTTACCATTTTCTTCTATGTCAACTTTCTCTGCTTTTGAGCGATCTTCCCGGTTTACCAGTTGCCTAGTGGCACAGACCTGCTTTAGGCCAAGGAAAAGGAAAAGTATTGAAGGGACAATCTGTCCCACCACAGCATCTACTGCAGGAGGTCGATTTTGCAATTCAAAAAGGATACTCAGTCCTATTATACACATCTTCCGATCATGATGCCTGCAAAATTTGAAGGGAAAAAAATGTAGTCATGAGAAGTGCAATAAAGGACAAAACCCAGAGAAATTACAAAAAGAAATGTTCAAGGCAAACTCTAGGGTTTATTCATTGGGATTGTACAGAAATATCTCCAGTTTTCTGCTATATGAAATCTTACATTAAAAAAGTTTTATAAATCATTATCATTAAAGACCCATGGGAGTCTGCAATTAGCATGGTGAATCTTGCTATAATACCAACTTATGACTAATGTAAATGCTACATTTGAGTGTTGGCATAATGGGTTTTGTTAAAGCAGAAAATTCTTGTACAATGGAAAACATGGAGAATTCCCCAGACTCTTCCCATTAGACTAGTCCTCAAGTTTTCTTGGCACAGGTACTATACACTAACATCAGGTGTCAAAAGGTGTTTCAAAAACTCAACATCCAATAAGCTGAGCTTAATAGATCTAAGTAAATCTACTGGCATCCTCTGCTATAACACAGATAAGAAACTCTTTTTATTAAATTATTTATTCTAATTTGTTATACACAATGGCAGAATGCAATTCATTTCATATTACACATATGAAGCACAATTTTTCAAGTCACTGATTGTACACAAAGTATTTTCACACCATTCATGTATTCATACGCGTACTGAGGGTAATGCTGTCTAACTCATTCCACCATCATTCCTACCCTCTTGCCTCCTCCCTTCCCCTCCCTCCCTTTTGCCCTATCTAAAGTGCCTCCCATTCCTCCCATGCTCCACACCACCCCAGGAAAATTTAATTCTGAAGGAAAAGATGTTTGACCAATTTATATTAGTCATATTTTTCTATATATTCCCTTTAAATTGTTTAAAACTAAAGATACTAAGAACTAAAAGACTATTATATTAGTATAACCACTTAAAATTGTAAGCATGAACAAAAAAAATCACTTGCAGTGGTTCAATTCATTTAAAATGAGATTATAATACAACAACCTCATGAATACTTTACAAGCTTCTGTTATTCTTCATTATATGCATTGCTTGCTTCATTTGAGTTACTAATGGCCAAGCTGTATGACGTAAGAGGAATTGTACTTGACCTGAAGGCTTTCTCATTCTCGTAGTACCAAACTAGTAGTGCATACCAGTCAAGTGGATCATAGCAAGAAAGATGATTTACCAGTGGATCTCTAAAGAATCTAAGGAAGCACTCTCCAAGGATGCCCAGTGTATGCAAAAGCTAAAAAAAAGACTGTCTTTAAAAAACTGCTTATTCATGTTGACAAAGATATAAGAATACCAACTACATAACTTTGCATGAACAAATCTCGACTCTAAATCTTTGTCAGAGATAACTTTAAGCACACTTTTTTTTTTGGGCGGGGGGGGGGGGGCAGCCTCTGGGGATTGAACTCAGGGACACTCAAACACTGAGCCACATCCCCAGCCCTACTTTGTATTTTATTTAGAGACACGGTCTCCTTGAGTTGCTTAGCACCTTGCAGTTGTTGAGGCTAGCTTTGAACAATGTTTTTCCCTTGAAAGTTTTATAAACAAATATAAGTGAGGGACAAATTCCAGGCTTCTACAAGTAGAAAACAGGCAGAGTATCCTGTAAGTGTGTTCACTCAGTCCTATTCTACCATCCTAACCCAGGCCTTCATCATCACCCACCCACATGGTAGTGTACTGATCATTTCTACCCAAGTGTCTACTCCCTTCAGCAAATTTTTCTAAGTAATATCTTGTAAAACTTTAAAAATGTTCCCAAATTAAGACAGCAAGCAAGCTCAAATTCTAACATAATATGGCCATCAACATGTGTTGGGTGACTTGAGATGGGCATATAACAATGTAGGACCTTACTTTTCCTGAGTTTGAACCATGCCCCCTGCCTTTTTTTTTTTTTTCTCTCGCAATACTGGGGATCAAACCCAGGGCTTCATGCATGCTACGCAAGCACTCTACCTTAGCTATATCCCCAGACATAATTTGTGGTTTTTTCTCTTTGTAGCACTAGGGAATGAACCCAAGACCTTGTACATGCTTGGCAAATGCTTTACCACTGAGCTCCGTTTCCATCTCCTATGTTTGAAAACTAGGAGAGTTTTTCACAGAAAGCCAAACTCTTCTACAGAGGCAATCTCTAAGCTAAAATTAATAATCTTTCTGACCACATTTGAGAACAGGCTCCTTTGAGAGCTGCAAAGAGCTAAACATCCCAGGACAGTATGTAACATCTTTGGCAGACTGGTATCCTCCTTAGAAACCTGATTCTCCCTAGAGTATCTGCCCACAGACACATAATAGTCATAGCATTTAGACCCTTAATTTTTGCTGCCTAAGATATAATGACATACAATAATCAAAAACAAATGGGAAGGGGCTAGGGATGTAGCTCAGTGGCAGAGCACTTGCCTAGCACATGTTGAGGCACTGGCTTTAATCCTTAGCCCACATAAAAATAAACAAAATAAAGGCATTCTGTCCATCTACAAGTATTAAAAAAAAAACTTTTTTAAATTTGGGAAGAGGTTTGAATTCTTTTCACTAGATTTTACTGTTGAAACACATTCATAATACTCTAAAAATTAAACATCATGTTACTAATATACCAAAAATAGTTCCAATGATATGAAAATTGATTTTGTACATTCTATCCTACATACATACATACATACATATATATATATATATACATACATATATATATATATATATATATATATATATATATATATATATATATATATAGTAAACTTCCCAGAAACAGAAAGTTAATATTTAGTCCAAAGGCACACATACCCAAGAAAATAATCTGTATCGTTCATCCACTGGTTTATAAACTGTACAGTGATAGGTCCAGGGTTGTGAGGCAACTGAATTCGCTCTAAAGTATGTAGCAGCAAATCAGGGTTATAGTACAAGGCAGCAATTGCAACCTGAAGACACATCGTACGGAGTTCACTAGTTTTGACCCCTCTAGTTAATCTCTCCAAAACAAGTTGAACAAAGAGAGGAATGCACTAAAGAGTAAAAAGAAAAGAAGAGTCAACCATACACAGAGCAACCAAGTAACTTACAGAAAGCTAATGCTGGCAAAGAGTAGTATCAAAAAGTCTTAATGACAATAAAATTTTTGCTTAAATTGTTTTTAGATATTTACAAGATTTATATGTTCATAAAATTCACAGAAATTAAGTAAACAACAGTCCTTCAGCAATGCCAGGAAATCTGCTTTCTTTAGTGAACACTGGAATTCATGGAAGACTGTCCAGTAGAGTCCACACTCAAATGGTGACGATAACCCATGAATGAACCCAACTAGATAAAATGATGAAGGTGGATTTTTCTTTGATTAATCAAATTGAAAATAAATAATTTGGACTAAAAATAAGTATGATAGTCTCAGTATGTCTCTTGAAAACAATTTTACATGAAAGATGAAAAAGAAGTGGTGAACCCCACACATTAAAATAAAATGATCTAATTCCAATGCTAACTCTGTTTCTTACTCAGATCTAGAATACTCCTGGTTCTAATGTAATAGCACAACACATATGATTTTAAAATACATTAAAAATTATTACCCTGGCCAAATAATTGGTTGAGAATCAGTGAAGCCACAATGGAAAATAAGCCTGAAGAGCTCTTTTTGAGAGGTTTTAAAAGTAAATTTTTACTAATACATACAAAGCCAAGAGGAACCAAAGGAATCTTTAAGTTTTAAACTAGTAACACTAAAATTATCCCCTTTACAGTATATTAAGACAAAACTGATTATGGAGACAGGTTGGACAAGTTACACAAATCCACAAATAAAGCATGGTGCAACTACAAGAGCAGTGCAGGAGAGCTGCGTGTACCACTGTGGAGGGTGGTCACCAAGAGAAGAACGGCGAAAAACATAGGTAGAGTGCATTGCTATGTATCTAAGAAGCAAGGAAAGAATGAATTTAAAATGGGGGGGAAATAGGGAATTGCAGTAAGGTAAAAGGATCAGTGATGGAGGATAGACTCCTCTGAATACACCTTATTTATTAAGTTAGACTTTAGAACTGTGTATATGTTCTATATTCGTTAATTTTTTTAAAAAAAGCAATCCCTAAAAATTCAGATTAATTGAAGTAAATGAATAAGCCAAACAGGGATTATTTTAGTGACTTTAAATTTAATGATTTGACTGTATATTAACTACACGTATATATTTATATACTCCTAGAGTATGGACATACCTTAGGTGAAAAGAGCTACCAAAAAATCTTGAACTGTTAATAGTAATCACATATTTTTTTTTAAGAGAGAAAGAGAGAGACAGAGAGAGAGAATTTTTTAATATATTTTTTTTAGGTTTTGGTGGACACAACATCTTTATTTTATTTTTATGTGGTGCTGAGGATCGAACCCAGCGCCCTGTGCATACCAGGCGAGCGCGCTACCGCATGAGCCACATCCCCAGCACAACAGTAATCACATATTGATGATAATAATGATATAATTATTCTGAGACTATTGTTTATATTAGTGGAATAAAGCACATAAGTAATTATGATGATAACTTAATTGATCCTATCTCCTACACCAAAAATTATAGTTAACTAAAAATAAAGAAGCCCTGAATTTTAATTGGAAATTAGAAATATCTACATATATCTATGTGTACTAATGATGCACAGACTAAAAAAAGAAAAAGGTATTTCAGCTCTTCTTCATAGAAACAATGACCAACTCAATATTGATGACTGTACATAAATAGCAGTAAGATATATATTATATATGAATGTTAATATATAATTGATGCGAAGCCAGACTGGAGGAGGAAGCTGCCCAGCGCCAGCCAAGCCAGACCGGAGGAGGAAGCCGCCCAGCGCCAAGCCAGACCGGAGGAGGAAGCCCGGGCCCGCCCTGTGTGCTAGTCCGGAGGAAGCCCATCAACCCTTAAAAACCATCAAAGGGGGTGTGGCTACCAGCATGGTTCTGCAGCTGATCCAGACTCTGAAAGCTAGAAGATCCTGGAACAACATATTTCAAACGCTGAAAGAAAAAGGGTTCCAACCAAGAATCATGTATCCAGCGAAATTAACCTTCAGGATTGAAGATGAAATAAAAATCTTCCACAATAAACAAAAGTTAAAAGAATTTGCAGCTAGAAAACCAGCTCTTCAAAACATCCTTGGCAAAACATTACAGGAAAAGGAAATGAAAAATAACAATGAAAACCAACAGCAGGAGGTAGTACAGTAAAGGGAAAATTAATCATAGAGGAAAAACAAATCATGTTAAGTAACATACATAATCAAATATGGCTGGAAATACAAACCATATCTCAATAGTAACCCTAAATGTTAATGGCTTAAATGCACCAATCAAAAGACATAGGCTAGTAGAATGGATTAAAAAAAAAAAAAGATCCAACAATATGCTGCCTACAGGAGACTCATCTGATAGGAAAAGACATACACAGACTGAAGGTGAAAGGTTGGGAAAAATCATATCACTCATACGGACCCCAGAAGCAAGCAGGGGTGTCCATACTTGTAGCGAATAAAATAGACTTCAAGCCAAAGTTAATCAAAAGGGATAAACAAGGACACTACATACTGCTCAAGGGAACCATACACCAACAAGACTTGACGATCATTAATATATATGCCCCAAACAATGGTGCAACTACGTTCATCAAACAAACTCTTCTCAAGTTCAAGAGTCAAATAGACCACAACACAATAATCATGGGAGATTTTAACACACCTCTCTCACCACTGGACAGATCTTCCAAACAAAAGTTGAATAAAGAAACCATAGAGCTCAATAATACAATTAATAATTTAGACTTAATTGATATCTACAGAATATACCACCCAACATCAAGTGGGTACACTTTCTTCTCAGCAGCACATGGATCCTTCTCAAAAATAGACCATATATTATGTCACAGGGGAAATCTTAGCAATTACAAAGGAGGAGAGATACTACCATGCATTTTATCTGATCATAATGGAATGAAATTGGAAATCAATAATAAAATGAGAAAGGAAAAATCCTACATCACATGGAGATTAAACAATATGCTACTAAATGAACAAAGGGTTACAGAAGACATCAAAGAGAAAATTAAAAAATTCTTAGAGGTAAATGAAAACTCAGACACAACATATCGAAATCTCTGGGACACTATGAAAGCAGTACTAAGAGGAAAATTCATTTCATGGAGTTCATTCCTTAAAAGAAGGAAAAGCCAACAAATAAATGACCTCACATTACACCTTGAAGCCTTAGAAAAAGAAGAACAAATCAGCAGCAAATACAGTAGAAGGCAAGAAATAATTAAAATTATAGCTGAAATCAATGAAATCGAAACAAAAGAAACAATCGAAAAAATTGACAAAACTAAAAGTTGGTTCTTTGAAAAAATAAATAAGATTGATAGACCACTAGCCACGCTAAAAAAGAGAAGAAGAGAGAGAACCCAAATTACTAGCTTACGGGATGAAAAAGGCAACATCACAACAGACAATTCAGAAATACAGTAGATAATTAGAAATTATTTTGAAACCCTATACTCTAAATAAAATAGAAGATAGTGAAGGCATCGATAAATTCCTTAAGACATATGAACTACCCAGATTGAGTCAGGATGATATAAACAATCTAAACAGACCAATATCAAGTAAGGAAATAGAAGAAGCCATCAAAAGACTACCAACCAAGAAAAGCCCAGGACCGGATGGATATACAGCAGAGTTTTACAAGAACTTTAAAGAAGAACTAATACCAATACTCTACAATCTATTTCAGGAGATAGAAAAAAAGGGAGAACTTCCAAATTCATTCTATGAGGCCAATATCACCCTGATTCCCAAACCAGATAAAGACACTTCAAAGAAAGAAAACTACAGACCAATATCCCTAATGAATTGAGATGCAAAAATCCTCAATAAAATTCTGGCAAATCGGATACAAAAACATATCAAAAAGATCGTGCACCATGATCAAGTAGGATTCATCCCTGGGATGCAAGGCTGGTTCAATATACGAAAATCAATAAACGTTATTCACCACATCAATAGACTTAAAGATAAGAACCATATGATCATCTCGATAGATGCAGAAAAAGCATTCGACAAAGTACAGCATCCCATTATGCTCAAAACACTAGAAAAACTAGGGATAACAGGAACTTACCTCAACACTGAAAAAGCTATATACGCTAAGCCTCAGGCTAGCATCATTCTCAATGGAGAAAAACTGAAGGCATTCCCTCTAAAATCTGGAACAAGACAGGGTTGCCCTCTCTCACCACTTCTATTCAATATAGTTCTCGAAATACTGGCCAGAGCAATTAGACAGACAAAAGAAATTAAAGGCATGGATGATATGATAATATATCTAACAGACCCAAAAGGGTCTACAAAGAAACTGCTAGAGTTAATAAATGAATTCAGCAAAGTGGCAGGATATAAAATCAACACGCATAAATCAAAGGCATTCCTGTATATCAGCGACAAATCTTCTGAACTGGAAATGAGGACAACCACCCCATTCACAATATCCTCAAAAAAAAAAACAGCATGGTACTGGTACCAAAACAGGCGGGTGGACCAATGGTACAGAATAGAGGACACAGAAACCAATCCACAAAATTACAACTATCTTATATTCGATAAAGGGGCTAAAAGCATGCAATGGAAGAAGGATAGCATCTTCAACAAATGGTGCTGGGAAAACTCGGGAGGCTGAGGCAGGAGGATCGTGAATTCAAAGCCAGTCTCAGAAATAGCAAGGCACTAAGCAACTCAGTGAGACTCTGTCTTTAAATAAACTACAAAATAGGGCCAGGGATGTGGCTCAGTGGTCAAGTGCCACAGAGTTCCATCCCTAGTACCCAAGATAAAAAGTATTATTTTGAATCATGGTAGAAGAAAGAATTAACATACTTAAATACTCAAACTTTCTCAGGATAATCTGATAATTTATGAGAAAACATTTCGTTTTATAGAAATATTTCATATAATAAATGAAGAAG